GACGACGTTCGTTTGCGTACGCGCACGCGATGCACCGTGGCTCCGGCCGAAGGACCGAGAGAAGCGGGAGTCGACATTGCGTCCAGAACGCCCGTGTCGTCGCCCGTTCCGTCCGTACGCCTCGGTCCGGTCGCGCGACGTCACGCGAGCGGTGGGGATCCGGCTTCCGGTCTCTCCTCTCGCACGGCCTCGGCCGTGGCGCCGCGCGTCGGTGCGACTCGCATCGCGGGCCGGCCCGCGGACCGCACTCGGAGAACCGCCGCTCGAGAGATCCCCGACGACGATCGCGAGACGAATTCAACATCCCAAACTCTCGATTTTCGAGTTCCTTTCCACCTCAAAACGAGGTCTCGAAGGCGCCGTCGCGGGCATCGATACGGAAATACGTTTTCGCGTTTTTGCGACACGGATGCGCCCCTTTTTTCGAGTCCGCCACGAACGAGAAAGAGATGGGAACGAGAGGTCGGAAAAGCGATCGCGAGAGAAAAAACGAGAAGCGGAGACGTGTCGCTCGAAATCGAGGGCGTCGTTCCCGTTTCCCGGACGTCGCGTCACCTGGTGCTTTTCGCATCGGAACCCGAGGAGACGACGCAAGGCCCGGCGACGGCGGAAATATCTACTCGGGCGGTTTCGCAACGGCCCTCGGCCGATGCGAGGGACTCGGTCCCGCACACGCACGGGATAGCCGGACTCGCTCGAGCAGACGACACGAACTTCGCAACGTGAGTTCCTTGCATTCTCTTCCGTCTTCGTCCTCGGAGACGAGGATCTTCGAGGCACGGGCGATCCGACGGACGACTCGTGCCGGAACGACCGCCGCGAGAAAGATTCGTTTCGGGATTCGGCGGAAGGATCGACTGATCGCACGAGAAACTCCAGAATCCGTACGGAAGAATGGAGAAAATGAGGATATTTCGCGTCGTGGAACGGACCGCGTAAACGAGAATAGACGGATTCTCCCGTGATTCCACCCACGCGAGACGAGAGTGCCGCTCGTCTTGCACGCCCGAGGCCGACTCTCGCGGTCTTCGCGTGCCAGGTCGGCTCTCGCGGTCTTCGCGTGCCAGGTCGGCTCTCGCGGTCTTCGCGTCCCAGGCCGGCTCTCGCGGCTTCGCGTCCCAGGCAGGAACGAGATCGGACTCGGCTCGTCTCGGTCTCCTCGGTTCGCCGTACCGATCCCTCGTTCGCGTTCTCGGTCGAGACGAACCGCGGCGTTTCTCTGCGCTCCGTTCGCGATCGATACGTACGGCAAACGCGTACGGCAAACCGCGATCGGTAAACCGGCGCGAAACGCATCCGGTGGAGTCGACGAAAGGATCCGGTTCCGGGGCACAGACCGCATTTTTCTTCCACTTCTCTTGGGTGCGTGCCCTCGAAAACAAATTTTTACCTGATGTAAAATTGGGACGTTGAATCTGACGTAAAAACCCGGTTTTCTGTACTCTTTCCACCTGTCAGAAGACCCTTCGGGTAAATATTATGGGGAAAAGCGGTTGAATCTGGACGAACGAGGGTGACGTTTATCATGGGTGGGACGAATGCTAAAAGAGAGCCACTCTTCGCATCGGAACGAAAACTTTCGAGTCGGTATCGAAGGTTGCCCCTTAAAAATAGCGGATTCCTCTGCCGAACCCCGTCGGCTAGTTCTCGTTGCAGGATCGTAGCGGCGGTCCTTGCTCTGGCCACGGTCCACGGGATCCGAGGGGATTCGTTCCTCGAAGCCACCAGGGACTCCATAAAGGTCTGTCGCTCTCGCCCTCTCTCGTCGCCGACTTCGCGTCGGTCGGAGTCGGCGACGGTCTCGCGGTTCTCCCCCCGGATGCTCCGAGACGCGTGCGATCCGATGCAGGAAGCGGAGAGGGAGTACGGGAAGGAGCTGCAGATTCTCTTGCTCTCGGGGGCGAGGAGCCGGAGGCCGAGCTTCCACGTCAAGAGCACGAAGAGATCCCAGAAGATCGGGGACGAGGCACGCATCCTACGGATCGCCACCTCCATCCTGGAGCAAAAGTGAGCGGACCCACGCCTCGAGGCGAACGATATCGTCTGCCTCCGTGAAAAATACGACTCTCGTTCTCGGGACGAGGTCGGAGATTCCTCGGAAGGAAGCGGAATACCTCGTTCGTCGGGAGATGTTCTCTTGGGAAAGGGAGGAAAGGGCTCGATCCGGCGCACCCCCTGCCAGCTGCTCGGGCGTCCAGCCCGACTGCGCCTCCCAAGACCCCAACTACAGGACCTACGGCGGAGTTTGCAATAACCTCGGCGAGGCAGGCGATCCGGATGCCATCTACTGGGGATCCGCAGAAATCTACTATCGTCGCATCAACAACAGCAACTCCTACGACGACGGTCGGCGCCGTTTTTCTTCGTATTTTCTTTTTGGACGGAGACACATCTCGATGAAACCAGAGCGTTCTCTCGCCGTCCGATACTCGATTGCCTGTCGAGCCGGTACTTCGTCTCCCGATAAAATAAAAATAAAAAACGATCAGCGAAGTGCTTCGAAAGCGTCTCAGCCCGGGTATTTCCTTTCGGTAAATGGTTTCCCCAGCACCCAGAATCCCATCGATCACAGTTTGAAACGAGCCTCGCACAGGTATTTCAATTGCACGTGGTGACCGTGTCGACCCGAACCGACTACCGATTCTCTTTCATCCCGAAGTAGTTGCAAGCGAGATTGCACCACCAGTCGAAACGCTCCAAGATTTCTTGCTTCTCTCTATTTCATTCCCCTGTGGCTATTACTAAATCGAGAGTTCCTTTGGAGAACTCGAAATGTTGGCGTTAAATTTTTAAAAAGTGCGAAAGTAGTCTCGAAGTCAGTCTTGCAAGAGTTATTACTTCTGGCGATCGTTGGCACGATGATGTAAGCCGGTCGTTAATTTTCAATCCACTGTTTCATCACGCCGTAATAATGCCCAAGAACCCTCTCGGATTTCGAAAACTCTACGAATATGAGAAAACTCCAGACGACACGAGCAGACAACATACGAGAGAAAGATGAGGAAAAGCTTGGGATCGGCAAGTGTATGTCGAACGACGACGCCGACACGAGGGCGCTGTAGAAAGGCAGCTTTTAAGCAAAAAACTTTATATTTAAATCCTAGTGCTATGCCTCGATCCGGCCAAAGCAGGTTCCATACTGAAGTAGGCACTTATTGCCGCCCTTCTAAGCCAAGCCTTAGCATGCCTTTCGAGACGGGATTTTGCAGGCGTGAGCATCCCACGAGGATCGGGAGATCGACTCTCGATGCTGCCGAATCCGCGGGCGTTGTCCTCTCTGCTGCACGAGGACGAGGATCTGCCCGCCCCGACGGCCACGCACATGATCATGCAATGGGGACAGTTCTTGGATCACGACATCACCCTCACCCCCAACGGAGGTATCGTCTCTGCCCGATCGCTTCTCGTTCCGCTTCGGACGGGGTGAAGGAATCCGGTTCGTGCGTTCCGACGATAGCGTTGCCGTGCTGCGAGTTGGATCCGTTACCGGTGGAGTGTTTCCCGATCGTGATTCCCAGCGACGATCCTTTCTATTCTCGACTCACCGTCCCCCAGACGTGCATGAACTTCCAGAGGTCTGCTCCCTACTGTGCAGGAGGTAACCTTTTCTTCTTTTCCCACTTTCCGGCGTTCGAGGCGCAATGCCGATCGGTGCCAGATCGGCATCACGATCCGCTACCCAGACGTGCATGAACTTCCAGAGGTCTGCTCCCTACTGCGCAGGAGGTAACCTTTTCTTCTTTTCCCACTTTCCGGCGCTCGAGGCGCAATGTCGATCGGTGCCAGATCGGCATCACGATCCGCTCGGAACGAGACGGAAGGACTTCCCGAGGTATTCGCGGAAATTTCAAATTCCAGAAGTTTTTTTTCCTATCAAAATGAGACACGAGTCGTCGTTTTTCGATCGCTCGAGTCGGGGAAACGGGTGCCCCCGAGGCACAGACATCGCATCGGAACTCTCAGGAAGGACGACACTCCGCGGTCGAGTGGAAAACCATTAGGGCAGCCGACGGGTTCCCTCGGTCCGTGACGAAAGGTCATCGATTCATCGTTTAGTCGGTACCCGGTGAAACGATCGGACTTTAAATGGCTAGACTCTCCACCCAGAGCGTTGGGTTCATTCCTACTCGACAAATACGGCCGAGCCACGTCTTCCCCTTCCTCCCGAGCGGAAATGGAATTCTCGCGGGGGCACGAAAAGTCCAGAAGAAAACGAGGAACATCGGATGACTACACGGTCGATAAAACTGGAAATTAGGATAGCGAAGCAGGAAGGAGAGGAGCAACTAGCAATCGAGTCCAAGAATCTTGCAAAGGACTTTTTTTTAAATCGATAGAGCTCATCAGCCTCCGTTGTCTAAGGTAGCCCCGGAAATGCCAGCTGTATCCCCTCAATCAGCGCTTGCTGCCTACGAGCTGGCCGTGCCATCTACAAGAGCTGCCTTGAACTCGCTATTTTTTCCCGTTTTTGCACCTAAAGGATAGACTGCTTACGTCTTCACGCTCTCGTCAAGTTGGACTAGTGCCGCAAATAGCTGCCAAGGTCGTAGATGCCCAGCAGCCTACTCGACCGGCGCCGTGAGGCTTCGAAACGAGACGGTCAGTTCCTCCGTCTTCTTTACCTTCCTTTACGAGCAGACGCCTTGCGAAGCGAGATATTCGTCGGGTGGACCAAACATAAAAATCCCACTACCCTTCCTTTGTTAAATTTTGCCGTAGCATACTTTTCCTTTGGTGTTTTTTTTTTTTTGTCAAACCCTCTCGGCTCTTCCAATGCTATCATCCGACGGAAGCACGGCGCATCGTCTCGTTGCATCGATTGCATCGCGTGAACAGGGAAGTTGGTGACGAATACGAAAGATTCGGGGCTCCTTCCGACCGGAGACCAGATATTCGGGGACGGCTCCCAAGACTTCGTATCCGGGGACATACGAGTGATGGAAAATCCCGGGCTCCAAAGTCTCCACACTCATAAGACTTTTCCCCTCGACTCGATCCCTCTTGGTAGAGGAAATAGAAATACCATAAAGAGTGTAACTAGAGGCTTCCACTCCGAGGGGTAGGGGAGGGTCCAAATATTACAGAGAGATATGGTGGCATGTTATCAACAACACTTCCATGGGACGTGCTTCGTGGCAGCGGAATCGGGATTCGACTCATTCGGGGATTCGACCCGTAGAGATCCAGCTACGTAACACGCGTGTCACGTTGAGTCTGCAGCTCGGCCACGGGGGAGTTGTTGATGTGCGTCCGCTAGGTGGAGGATCGACACCGACATCTATATTGTGACCCTGTCAATGAATGGGATTCGAGCTAAGTGGAAGCCTCTAGTTATACTCTCTACTCTATGGAAACACCCCATTCGGCACATCAACGTCGTATCGATGTCGAAAAAAGGTTGACTTTTCAACGTATCATATTGCCACGATGTTGCCACAAAGTTGAAATGAAACACACCTCAACGTAGCTGTAGATGTAGGAGAGAGAGCTTAGTATCAGTGTTTTGGGCCGCTTAGTATTTAGGTCCACCTGAGCCGAAGAAGAATGAAATCTATGGGTCCTAGCCGTTTTACTTCGTGAGTCAGTAAGGTGTGATTTTTTTTAGGTCGATATTATATTTACATATTATCGGAAGGGTTAAGGACAGATGCCTCGAAGATCAAAAGGCGTTTGCGGAACCAGCTGACCGGAAGGGCCTTATCAGGTTTCCGCGTGCGAAAGTAAGAGCTGAGAGTTAGGGGGGGTGCGCGAAGGGAAGTATGAGGGTGCATGCCAAGCAGATTAGAAAATCTTGTGCAAGGGGGGAGGTGGCCGCAGGGATGAATGTGAAGAAGCGAGGGAGTCTGCATTTTTTTCCCCCATTTTAATGAGAGAGAGAGAGAGATGGTGATGGAGATGATGAGGGCGTTGGGTTACGGATGGTGAGTTGTGAGAAAGGGTAGTCTCACGTGGAGGGGAGGCGCTGGGAATGGGGGTAGGGGGGAGTTAAAGTGCAACTCTTTCCGAAGCGTTCAAGGATTTTATGGAAATGATAGGTTTTTCTATGTTTGAAGCGCCCAATGGTACATTTTTGAAATTTAGTTTTGAGGGTTTTTCCTTAATGTCTCCTGGCCTTTTAGGGTCGTTGAAGTAGTTAAGTGCTAATTCAGAGGAGGGTTGGGGAAGAGGTGTTAGTCCGCTAATTCGATAGATATAGGAGTTAGAATAATAAGTAGGAAGTCGAAAGGCATATCTGATTGCAGCTCGTTCGATTCTTTCGAGCGGGCTGAGGACCGCCTCGGGAGGAATTAGAATAATAAGTAGGAAGTCGAAAGGCATATCTGATTGCAGCTCGTTCGATTCTTTCGAGCGGGCTGAGGACCGCCTCGGGGCAGTTAGCCCAGGCAGCAAAGGCGTATGTTAGTGCAGGGCGAAGGTAGGTGCAATAGAGTTTTAGGATTACATGGGGTTCGCACCTTTTGGCTACAGAGAGGACTTTTAGGCAGTTAAGTTTCCTAGTAGCTTTGGCGCGGATTACATCTACGTGATTATTCCATTTCAAATTGCTGGAGAAATGTATTCCAAGAAAACGGGTCGAGCGAGACTGAGGGATGATATTCCTGTTCATGCGATTGTTGGCACCGTAGGGTTTATTATCTCGAGCAAAGAGAAGGAGGGAGGATTTGGAGGGGTTCATAGCGATGCGCCAAACGCAACAATAGTTAGAGAAAAGACTGCAGCCTGGGCCCTTGCGTGCCATGTGGAGATTTAGGAAAATTGAGCGTGTCTCCTCTGACCCACTGGCCAGAAGTACTTTGGGTCTCCTTCTGCCTGACAACCTCCTTAAACATTTCTATCTAGGAATTCCTATACCTTCCCCTATGACGTAAATGGGAAAAGATCGGGTACTGTATGAAAAATGCAGGGTACTGTTAATTTCAAGGCATCAGGGTAAGAACCGCCGAATCAGCGGTTAGGCGCCATCTCGCGTCGATTCCTAGAACCTATTTTCTGTCGATATGATGTCGATAACTCCACGTAAAAACAACATTGAGAATACGATGAAAAAAAAGCTCCTAATAGCCTCTGAACGACTTCCCTAATTCACAAGTAGTCACCAAATGCTGAAAATACGGTCAATTATGAATAGCTAGCATTTCATTGATGATTTTTCGTCGAATTCTCAACTTCAACCAAGTCTCAACGTTTCAACCTATTCTCAATGTTGATACAACGTTGTTGTACCGAATGGGACTTCTCCCTCCTCTAGTGTTCATGAAGGAGCACAACAGGCTCGCAGACGAGTTGAAGGCTCTCAATCCAGCCTGGGACGACGAACGACTCTTCCAGGAAGCCAGGTTCGTTTGGGTACGCCTAGAGCTCCTTCACCGATACGATCCTGTCCGCGCTTCTTCCTTTCGCGATCTAGGAAGATCGTCGGTGCGGAGATGCAGAACATCCACTACGGAGAGTTCCTACTGGAAGCGTTTGGCAGTTCGTCGTACATGGAAGACTACGGACTCGAAGTGAATTATCCGTCGACCTACGATCCGAGCCTCGATCCAAGCCACACCAACATCTTTGCTACCTCCGCCTACAGGCAAGAATCCGCCCCACTTGCTCCATCCCGTCGACCCCCTAAGTGGGGGTCCTACCCAAAGACCTGACACTAAGAAGACTGGAGAATGCGCGAAAGCAGGGCAACCGCAACGGCGGTCTATGCCCTGGTGGTTGGCCCGAGTTGACTAACGTCAACGTTTCTTGGAGCAGAGCGCTAGTGTCTCTTGAACGAATTCGCGCCCGAAGTCTGACGCCATTTCTATTTCGCTCGATCGATTGACATGGCAGCGGAAGACCATGGAGAGATGGGAAAACAATGTTCGATGGATCTCCCCAGGGGGGGCTACGATTCTTGAATTAAGACAGAATTGGATGCTGCTTAGGTTACTAATGTAACAAGGAATCACTTAATTTTTTTGTTAATTTACGAACTGCATTATTTTCATGAACTGGAGATCGATGAATCACAATGGCAATCTCATCTATTGCCGAGAACATTTTGGCTTAGCTGCCAGCAACAATGTGTGCGAGTAAGAAGCCAGCTATAACCCAACTGGACCCCAAGAACATAAGGCTGTAAATCCAAATCAAAGCTGGAAGATAATTATCCACAGCCTGTTTTTGTCCGTTCAAAATTGAATTCATCCTATTCTAACAGGTCTGTAAATACGAGACGCAAAAATGTTGCCCTTTTCGATAGGGTCATTGAGGTTACTCAGCATTTACTTTATCCGCCTGTTATATTTGTAAAGTCATCACCACAGGCCTAGTGCAAAGCCCTAGGTGAGCACATGCACGTGCCTTTCCGGATCCTTGGGAAACCGATGCAACGAACTTCTCCACCCATCTGGCAAATTTCTCGTGGCATGGTGCGTAGGCGCAGCATTTAGCATGATCCAGAAGCAGACATATTTCATGCGACATTCCGATCCAATGATCCCATTGATCAGTTCTGCGTAGTTCCGGGGCCAACCACCAGGGCAGAAGGTTTCTCCGACATCAAAGGTGCCGCCACAGAGTGCCCAGTCTTCTTAGTATAAGGTCTTTGGTCCTACCCTTCCTGAAAAACGAGCTAGGGCGAAGGTGTTGCATAGATGTCGCATAGTGTCTCCCCGCCCCTCTTTCCCCTCAGGGCTCACTCCGACGGAAACCAATTCTTAAAAATCCATCTGGATCCCTTATCTGATCAACTTCCCCCCTTTTTTTTTGTACCCCTCCCTTCACTTTCCGCGTTCTGCATTCATCGCCTGGAGACATCGGCGTGGTCATACAGCGTCAAAACATTATGTCGTCGTCCGAATTAAAAAAATGTATATATATTTAACTAATTTGGTGCATGTCACTCTAAGTCTCTTGCACCGTTCTCCTACTTGAGACATGTTCCTCGATGTACACAAATGAGATTTGAAAGATGACTTAAAATAACAGTAAAAAGAAGCCGCATCATAGTGCAGATAACAGACTCTGAGATCGTAGTAGCAGGCTTTTCTCCCTATGTCAGACCTGTCATGGAAAGTGACAGGCCCGCGATGGTAATAAATCACATCATTTCCTAATAGCCTAAAATTATATTTTCTCCATCTTTTCTCGACATTGCGTTCCTTGAGCATGGTGATGCGGGTACCTGTTCCCTAATTTATTTAATTTTAAGGAACTGAGATCACTCTATACCGGGGAATATGCTCTTTTTTTTTGGGGGGGGGGGGGACTCCATCATTAGAGAAATCCTAACGCGCTCACGGCCAAAGCAACAGCCTCACGATCCCTTCCTTCGATTCTTCCAGTTCTAGGTCAAGAACCGGGGAATATGCTCTTTTTTTTTGGGGGGGGGGGGGACTCCATCATTAGAGAAATCCTAACGCGCTCACGGCCAAAGCAACAGCCTCACGACCCCTTCCTTCGATTCTTCCAGTTCTAGGTCAAGGGGAAGTCAATGGGGGGCGAGAATTCTACATTTAGGTGATAGGAATATAATAAATGGATCGCATCACTCGTTACCCAGTGCGTCTTCACGGATGGCGTATTCCAACCAACTCGATTCTGAACCCGAGTGTTGAGAAGAGAGAACCTCCGTCATGGACGTGATGAGGCGAGGGTCCGCATTCCACCGAAAGGAATTCATGTCCAGACAGTGGAGGGGAAGCAACGAGAAAACAGACAGTAAAGGACAAAATCTTTCCCAATTCCTTTTTTTCCCATGGAAAGAACGACTTCATTCAGCACGACCTCTTTTCTCTGACCTGTCTGTGGTAATGTAAAAGGAAGTTTGCGATATAACATGCATAAAAGAACATCCTCTAAGAAAGAGATGAATACTGCCTGAAAGATGGCTCATAGGATTGAGAGGGACGCGGAGTGAAACTTCCTCACGAGCGTCACAACATTTTTGTTTGGATGCGAACAGGGTCTATGGATAGTCAGATCCATCACGAGGAAAGAGATTTTGGCGTCTCTTTCAGTACGACAGCCAACATGAACCTATGAGCCAAAGCAGGCAACTATTTAGTTCCCGATACGAGGGTTTCTGCCTCAATTTCCACGCTGAGATATGTTTGCAGTTTGGCTTTCTCACACTTGCCCATCGAAGAGATCGGACTGGGTTGATACTAACAGGGAACATGATTCCAATTGCTATGATTTCTCCCACACATGGATTTCAGTATATTCGAAGATGATGAATGGTGGTCTCACTATTGAAACCTTTGGAAACTTTCTCAATGAAATGAGGGCCACGATTGGGCCAATAAAACGGAGCTGTTTTCATCGTGGAAAGCTTTAAGGCTCACCGACAAATGATTCCCCGATACCCGTCCCATTGAATGAACTTCTCTCTATTCAAATCAGATATCAAAAGAGAGCTTAGGTTCTCTATCGGTTCCCATTGCCACTGTGTTGCAGGCCGAGATGTGTCTTTGACACGATATCGCAGGAACATTCTGGAACAAACTGTACATGACGCACTGGAGAGCTTACATTCCCGATTATATGCCGCGGAGCATATACCCAGCTGTTTACATGGTCATCGAATACAGAAGTGACTTTCGAATGAAGCTGTCATTTCCACGCCATGGAAGGAAAAGGTCTCCACTGTCTGGTTTCTTCCACTGAGATAAGAAAAGTAACTGGAGATGGCGCACAAGAGAATGGATTAGCTGTCATTGCCCAGGTAACACATCCATGTGGAACAACATTGAAACAATGTTTCATGGCAACATTTATGATGCTGAAACAACATTGAGGTGCCACATTGATTCAATATGAAGATGTCATTTTTGTCAACATTCATTCAACATACCTCAATGAGTCCCTCGTGATTGGGTTTCTCCATGGATAAAGTAGAGGTAAATTCATCAAAATGAATCGCATGACCTATGGATAATGAACTACATACACAAAAGAGGATAAATCCCCTTCAGTATCTATAGGTCAGTACCCACTAGAGTACTGAGAAGTTGGAGAATATGTTTCTTCTTTAGTTCTGCAAACAGCACCAAAACCTTGTATACCTAACTGATTTACAAAACGAGGATAAATTCCTTCAACTCTCCTAGGACATTTGTGAATGGATCACTTCAGGTTATCCTTGTGTGTTTTTTTTTTCTTTTTTTTATAGCCCTGTGATCTCCACGTGGTGGGGATCACCCCTGCTAAGAGTTGGGTGAGAGGGCAGGATAACTAGCATTATTTGAAAAGGAAAACCTGGCTGCAAGTGCCTTACTTCTTTTGCTGGGCCTAAATTATGATGCTATGGATCCAGTCAGGGTATCAAATGTAGCTTGGGCTGCTCCTGCCAAGGCAGGTGCCGGAAAATGGTAAGAAGAATTTTTAAAATCCTTTTTTGGTGCCCAATTCCATGTAATTTTGACATTTAGACCCAGCTTGGTCCGCCCGTAGGCGCTTCAAGCTGGGCGCCCCGTGGCTAATTTACTGTTAAGGTTACTTTGTTAACGGGGCTGGGTGGTGGTGAAGTCGAGGTTGTAGTACCTGTAGAGAGAGCATAATTAGACAATAATTTAGGTAAGAGATAGTGCTAAGAATATTTTCGAATCAGAGATAGATGTCATGCGTTGTTCTGGGAAGAATGTCGGGGATAACGGACCGATTCCGGCGCGGAACCACTTATTTCCATATTAAGAGTTATAAGACTGTTTATGCTATGTGGGGGTAAGTCACTTAAACAAGAGCTTCAGTTCTTTAGTCGGACAATCGATGATCCT